TCCCTCTGGGGACACAGAGGAGGTTCTCTGGAGCTTTGAGCAGTTGGTGGTAATTCACCCTGGACACGCCTTGGCTAATCCCCAAACGTGCCACACCCACACCTGTGCTAGACTGTATACCCGTGGCTGGTGGAAGGATGTCAGTTGTTCTCAGCCTTGACTGAGCTAACTCTGAGAAGCGTCCGCCCTTGGTGACCACGTTCATCTCCAGCAGCTTCGGAACTCAGTATGCTCCATCTCACAGAATGCTTAAAGGATGTTCTGTGCAGACATCCCACGATATCCATGGCAACCAGCGAGTTCTTAGCTTTCAGCAGACTCCGCACATGGCCCCTTCAGTGAAATATTGTGAAGATGGCGCTCACTGGGTGTAGCTAGGCCAGTGCTTGGGCAGAGATTGCAAGTGTGTACTCCTTGCCTGTTGTCAACACAGGGTGCTTGGGTCACACCCTCTACAAGTCCAATCAAATTAGCTTGAGAGAGACTTGAACGATAACTTTAAGCAATTGCTTTTGATATACTGAAGTAGCTCATTTAGGACCAATCTCTCCAGGAGCAGGGACCACACTCTTAAAAGTGTTAAAAAGCCAAGACTTTCCTGACCTCTTGGAGACAGACTGGGAGGCTGCCATGCATAAGGTATTAAAAACTTGATACACCTAAGTGAATGGAACAAGCTATCTTGGTGGCTTGCACTGTTGTTCTCGGTGTACCTGTGCAGCCTTAACTTCAGCTTTAACAATTGCTTCCAAGGCTGTACTGGTGGGTGCAGGGCACAGCTGTAACACTAATGGTGAACCGCTGAGTGTAGAACAATGTGGTTCTGGGCGAATTAAGACACTGATTGGTTTAAAAAGAACCAAGTGTCCTCATCTGGGACACACTGTTCACGGTAAAAGCTGACCTGAAAGCTAACCGCTCCCTGGACTCAGTACAAATCTGTCTAAGATTGGCTCTAACACTAACCCCACTGGCAGCTCTATCTGGTTACATGTCAGCTTTGAAATCTAACTGGTACCTGTGCACATTTGTACCACTGACCCCTTTCGTGCTTACAGACCGCGCTCCCTGTACACCCTTGAAGGAGAGCGTGACGATGCTCAGGGCACACGTGCAGCCACAGTAGACCGTACTGGGAAAAAGGACTCCAAACTCAGGTGCCTGGGGCATGTTAGTGGAGTGTGCGTGTGGACAAGACGTGCTGAAGAACTCCAGCCACGATTCAGGTAAGGGACTTTCCTTTCTTAAAACAGGAAATAGAGTTATGGTAAATGCCCGGGACCCTTAACTTTTCCCTTGAGCTGGCAATACTGTCTGGGAATTCTCTGCCTGCACTCTCTGAGTGGGGACAGCTGGACGGATTGGGGAGGGATCAGTCTGGAGCGTTTGGCAGAGGTGTGCTTGTGTTCTGGTTAACCATTTACAACCCTAATTGATATGAAAATTGGAAGCCATCTTTGTCAAAACTTTCGGGCGAGTAAAGGACCATGGCATAGGCAGTCTGGCTGGGCTGCGGTTCACAAGCAAAGAGCAGCCAGGAAGCAGCAATCAGTGAGCCAATATTGGAGTAATTGCTAGAACAGGGATTGATCAGCAAGAGTGGGGATCAGGGTCAGTCAGGCTGGGTCAGAGACCAGAGACGGTGCCAGGATGGAACCAGCAAGAGACACTGGAGATCAGAAAGTAAGGCGTGGGCTAAAGAAGTAGCAGGCTAGAAATCTGTGTGGCTGCTCACACAACATCCCAGGGCACCCTCCAGGATTCAATAGTGTGTGTGATCGGTCAGAGGGCTGCAAGGTACTGCCCCTCTGGACGCTGTGGGTGGTAGGTACTACCTGCAGTGCTCTGCATGTCCTCTTTAGAGGGGATATGGGAACATCAGCTGGCCCCTCCACAGAGCAAGGTTCTGATCCCATGAATCCTTACAAGCCATTTGTCTTTGTGAAAATCAGAGAATGGTGAAACACCCATTTATGTCCATAATTCACGTATGCACCTTGCAGACACAATTGCTATCAAAATACACTTTGGGGAGACAGATGGAATAAAGAAAAACTTCTCACAGGTACAAAAGGAAGCTTCACTAAAAGGGACAGAACTATTTCAGAGCCCAAGAGGGCAAAGGGTTTCTTCTGAGGGGTGGGAGTACACGTTATTAAAGCTTTAAAAAACATTTTAACTAAATCATTAGTAAAAGTAGATTTACCCTCTATAAGCTGGTATGGCTGAAGGACTAACCACAACTGAAGAAAAGAAAGACATGCCTTCTGAAAATACAACACTCCACAATGAAATGGTGCTAGAAATGGGTCTACATCACATGTGCAAATCCACAACAAACCCCTTCTCCATTACACCTATAGCAGTTACTTGTGAACTGGTTCCTAGAATGTAACAGTACATTTCTGCACCTCTAACAAACAGCCTGGCACCAGCCCTCCCACACTCCTACTCACTGTGCAGTTAAAAGAAGGAACTAAAGATCCGGACAACAGACCAGCCCTGTCTGTTGCCACAAGGACGGTGGCAGTGGCTCCATGAATCCTGTTGGTAGGGGAATCAAATCTGAATACCAGTTTTCTCGGCTATGCTGGCGCTATTGAAATCCCCCTGCCCTTCTCCTGTTGTTCCTTTATCACTCTCCGAATGAGGGGAAGTAGGGGGACCTTATGTCCTGACCCCACTGTCTCAGAAATGTATCCAATATCGATTCCTTAGCTCTGCTTGCTCTGGAGCAAACTGGTTTTTACCTTTCCTGTTGCTGCTGGATGCAAACAGGTGTATTTTCGGCTTTGCCCGTGACTGGAGAGCTGTGTTGTTTTTTCCTTCCCAGACTCTCTGTGCATCTAACAAGTTAATCTGCAGGCATGTTTTGTTCCCCCACTAACAGGGTGTCAAACCCTTCACTGGACAGCAGAGGATTAAAGAACAACTCTGGGCTCAGGATGTGATGCCCCTCCCCTCTTGCCAATCATGCTCCAACTGCAGGCAGGGTTGAAAAGGATTGATCGAGCATCCAGGCAGCTTGCCAGACAGGGCAGGGAGCAGGTCCTAGCCAGACCGAGGCTGGGAGAAGGAAGGTCATCAAGCAGCAGCTCCTAGGGGTCAGAGATGGGTAGGCAACTGGCAAACTGATGCTTATGTGGATACCTTGCAGCTCAGTGCAGGAAAAAGGGAGGTAGGAAGTGACCCAGGGAGGCTGGCTTGAGGGCCCTCCAAGTGCAAGGTACTGGACAGGTCTCATATGGCCCTGGATTGGAACCCAGTGGAGGCCCAGGTTCCCCTACTCCCCCTCCCCCCTTGCAGCTGCAACCACTGGGTGGCATGACCACTGGAAACTGACAACTGGGTGGAGTGACTGTCAGAGAGTGTGGCCACTAGGTGGCGGACCACAAACCCACTCTCACCCCACACACAAACGTGTATTGTGTGAATGTCATTCTGTGCGCCATTTCCAAAATATAATGCCTGGAAACAAACAGTTTATAGAATAAGCTCCCCCCCTTACTTGTCCAGATATTATAGTGCCATCATATTGTCTATTACTACCTGGGTTTGACTCGCAGCAGGAAGGACTTCAAAGCTAGTCTTCTGACTCTCAATTCTACAACACTGATATGTCGATTTTTTCCTTTTGGTGACCAATAAGCCCTGACAAATTGTTTTTCAGGTGAACTCCCCAATCTAGCTGCATCTGAGGTTCGTGTCACTGACGGTGAAAGGGAATTGAAAGTGTATGTTTCATTGCATTTTTTAGTGTGTTTCCCCCACGAGCGACATTAACACTTACTGTGGAATTACTATTTTGTGGTGCACGCTGTGTAAACCTGGTCTGTAATTTGTTCCTAACCAGTTCTGAAGATCTCTCAGCTGAAGCTAAGGATATGGCGGCACAGCTGTGTTTGACAGACCCAGGAACTGACTGCTATAGAAACTAGAGGAAGAGATCTATATTTTATATACACCTTTCCTCTTGGAGAAAAACTCTTTCCACAGTAGAATCTACTGTGGCCCCTATAAAGCAGATCCTCTGAGTAGGGTTTAAGCACAACTTTGCCCATTTTATAGGTAAGCCCAGACTGGCAGAGAGAGAACACATTTGATTTACATGTACTAAAATGTCTTTCCTGGAGGATGCATCTAAGAATCAGTGCATACTGCCCATCTCTCAGAGATGTGAAAACAGTTAACTGGTTAACATCCCTGCTCTTAGTCACTGCCCCTCCAAGCAGGACTTTGGCTAACAGGAGAGCTACGGACACATGAAAAGGGAGGGCCTTGTGCTGAAAATGGACCTCTCGTACAATGAAGAGCAGGTATTTCAGATGACATGGTTTTCTAGAAACTACACATCTTAAATCCAGAGCAGCAGCCTAATCCACAAGGCAAAGTGCAGGGTTATAGAAGTTAGGGAGAACATGCAGACACAAAGTGTCCTTCTTTAAGTGTTTTATTTACTTAAATCCAAAATAGGACAAAAGCTCCATCTTTTTTAAAATAGAAAATGTGAGTACAACCCCCCTTCCCTCTGGGCTCTTGCGAAGAACTGTCTCAATTGCTTCGAACTGCAGCTGAGTGGATCCACCTCTTTCTCCGACTCTGATCTCTGCCCAGAGATGAAATGGGTGGGTTGTTGGTGGGAAGGGTCTGGATTTGAATTGTATATTCACATGCAATAACTTCCAGGATTCACCTACCTGATGTAAACTCCAAGTGATAATACAAACAGGACAAACAGTCCCCAAATATGTCGGATGCAAAGGACGTGACAACTGACTGTCCTCCTGGTACAAAACTGGGGGGTTAGTCTCACACACACTCTTCTTCACAAAGCGAAAGTAAGTCAGTGCACGAGTAAGAGAGGGGCTGGCTGGGCACGGGGCTCCGGATGCTGCTGGTCAAGGTTCCGATGCTGGTGCTGGCTGTACGTGGCTCACCCCTCCCCTTCTTTCCCCTACCCCATAGGGACCCAAACAATCCCCCATGTGGCCCCTGGCCCCAGCATCGCCCCGGCCCTGGTGGGCTCAAGTCAGCAATCACAGCCCAGGTAGCCTGGCCACACTGCACGCAGGGATCCAGCAGCCGGGTCCGCTCCAGGGACTGCTCCCCCCAATCCCCGCAGTGCCACTGACTGCTCTCCCCAATCCCTCAGTGCTACTGACTGCTGCCCTTAGCCCCCCCCCGCCTGGAGCTCTCTGGCACCCTCACCCCACCCTGAGCCTGACAGGCCCTGCCCCCGCCTGCAGGGGGTGCCCCGGGCCAGGGCCCCCCCGAAAGGGGAGATGAGGGCCCGCTGGGGGGGGGGGCGGGGCG